TCGACAACTGAAGACCTATTCCAATGAATTACGTTTATATATGTCTCTGTAACCTTGTTGTTCATAATTGTGTTTATTTTTCCGAACGTTTGGAATGCTGTTGAAGTAGTAAGTCAACAGTCAATACCACATTGGTGAGGGAATTGTCGTAGAAACAAATAAAATGTCTAATGCATCACTAATGGTATTAATTTACATTTTGTAAATATCAATAAATTTTTTTGTATTTCTCATTCAAACAATTTTGCGTACCACATTAGTGAGTGGATTATATTCTACCAATCGATCGTGAATAATAAGACAATAAGCTGTAGTGTTATCTGGAATGTTTTGCTGACATTCGAATTCAATACGAACGTCTACAGTAGCACTCTTGATTGATTCGTTCTGACGGGAGCAATCGATGACTACAAGCGGGCTGTATTGCAGAAATTGACGGTATTCGAGTAAAGCCTTGTGATTTGCGTGACCGTAGTATGCTTTTTGAAATTTTACATACATGTCGTAGAGTATGGCGAATTTCTTATGTTCAATGTCTAAATTCATGTCATCATAGGGATAATTCTCCGAATTTAAATACAGTTTTACGTTAGTTAAATTGCAATTGTCGAATATGGAAGGGTCCTTTGCGAGATTGTTTCTTCTGTCGGTTTGTAGCGCGAATATGACATATCGAGGTTTCTCCAATTGCGTTGCTGTCTTTACAGCCCATGAATGCTTGGTTGTGCTTTGTAGCAGAGGAAATTCGTATAGATCCCACGATCGGAAACCTAAACTCACGTAACGTCCACTCTCCAATGTTCGTAAAAGCGACAATTTGTTTACATCGTTTAATATTACGTGAGGCATTCTCCATTGTACTTTTAGTAGAGTGATTTTTGGTTCGAATGAAGAGGGCTTGCTGCAATGCAATTAACATCAGTGCGTGCACGTATTAGAATAAGTTCGTGGCGCGCATTTATCACTACACGTTTGTAATCCTCGCAGAATCCCAAGAGTAAATCGAGAGGTACACAAAAGTTGAAATCACCGAGTGGTAGATGCACATTAAGATCCCATCCAGCGTGTTGCAATGTTCTATGTCTCTCGTCACTTAATGATACGTAATTCTTGATTGTACTAGTCACTCCGATATTTCTACATCGATCGATCTCTATACCGTTAAGTTCGTATCGAATCTCGTCGAACATAAAGGCAACACAATTGTTTAAC